GGGGGTCACTGGGTGTTAGGGCCCCCCACATGCTTCGGGGTGCAGGTGTTTGGGTCTCCTGTGTCCTGTGGGTGCGTTTGGAGGGATCCTGTCCCACAGGGGTGGGTTTTGGGGGGTTGCTGCCCCTGAGGAGGATGTGGGGCTTTTGGGGGGTGCCAGGTTTTAGCCACCCCCCCTTTGGTTTCGGGGTGCAGGCAACTGAGGCCTTCCTCGTGCGGCTGATGGAGGACGCGTACCTGTGCTCGCTGCATGCTCACCGTGTCACCCTACACCCCAGGGACATTCAGCTGGCCCGACGCCTGCGGGGGGTTGAACGGGGGGGTCTCTGAGGGCTCCCTGAGACCCTTAGAACCCCCCTGAGACTCTTCGGAATTCCAAACTGGAAGACCTGCAGGATCTCTTCCTGACATCTTCATACCCCTCGTCTACCCCTATGGGATCTCCACGCTGAGATCCTGCTGTGGCATTCACCACACTAGGATCCTCCCTGGAGACCTACTCAGGGACCCCCCGTGGGATACCCTCTATGGGACCCCATCCTGACATCCCTAATGTCATTGGGGATCTCTCCCACGGACCCCCACCCTGGGACCCCTCCAGGGAGCTCCCCATGGCACCCCCACCCTGATGACCCCCCATCCTGGTTCACTGACAATCCCCCACAGGGACTCATCCCTGTTGAAGGGTCTTTCGAGGGGATGTCGCCAGGAACCCCATCGCCAGGACCCTGCTGTTTCTGCACATTGTAATAAATGTTTGTGACCCCCAGTTGCTGTTGCTGGAGGTGGGGAGTTGGGAGCGGAGCTGGGGGCACTCTGTGGGATTTGGGATGGAGACTCCCACAGGAAGGGGATTTGGGCAGGGGGAGGCACTCAGATGCCTGTTCCTAGGACCCCGCAAAGCCCTGGTACCCTGCAAGGAATGAAAGAACACCTTGTCTGTCTCAAACACTGTTAAGGTCACTGTCATGGTTTAACCCCAGGCAGCAGCCAAGAACCACGCAGCCACTCACACACTCACCCACAGAATCCCGAGGGTAAAAGCTCATGAGCTGAGATAAAGACAGTTTAACAGAGAAAGCAAAAGCTGCACACACAAGCAAAGCAAAACAAGGAATTAATTCACTGCTTCCCATGGACAGGAGGTGTTCAGCCATCTCCAGGAGAGCAGGGCCCATCACGCGTAACGGTTCCTTGGGAAGGCAAACGCCATCACCGCAAATGTCCCTTCTTCCTCCCACTTTATATACTGAGCATGATGTCATATGGTATGGAATATCCCTTTGGTCAGGTTGGGTCACCTGTCCCAGCTGTGTCTCCTCCCAATCTCCCATGCATCCCCAACTTCCTTGCCAGTGTGGCAATACGGAAAGCAGCAAAGGCGTTGGCTCTGTGTAAGCTCTGCTCAGCAACAACAAAAACATCTCTGCATTGTCAACCCTGTGTTCAGCCCAAAGCCCAAACATAGCCCCACATTAGCCACTGTGAAGAAAGTTAACTCTACTTCAGCCCAAACCAGCACAGCCACAAAAGGGATTTGCCCAAAGAATCGCTACCCACCAAGGTGACAACTTGATATAAGCACAAAAGAGATGTCGCTAATTCTAGGCCTGGCGGAGGCAAGATCTGGTTAGCACATCCTGATTAATGTATCTAAACAAAAATCCCCACTGTGGCAAACTGCTTATACATACCACTGGTCAAAGATCACCCCGGACAGGTGGCATCTGCAACCACCAAATCCCCACCCTGAGGAAGCATGCAAATGAAGGAACACCCATCCTCGCTTTGCATGGAATACACCTCCACAGATACCCTGTATAAAGATGGTAACCCCACATGAACAACCTGGGACCTCACACCAACAGCATGATTTTGGACCCTCACCACCAGAATAATGACTTGGGGCTTCTGCCATTGAGAACCCCAGGGTGAAGATGGACCAACAGGATGCTGCTGGGCCTACAGGTGATGCCTCTCCTCTCTTCCTCTCTCCCTCTCTCTCTCTCCTCTCTCTCTCTTCCCCCCCCCCCTTTTTCACTCTTTTCCCCTGCTCTTTCCTATTTCTATCTCTCCACCTCATATTTATAGTAATAATTTAGGTTTTTTGATTATAATATTATTAACGTATTACTGCCTTCAGCATATGGGCTCGTTTGCACCTTAATTTAGGCAGAGGCACCTCTCACTAAGTGGATGGTAACAGAGCCCCGGGGTCCAGCCCCACCCCCAGCCTCGCTGGCTTCTCGGCCACAGCCACCACCTGCGGGGCAGTGCAGTGGGTCCCAGCCTGGGCGTGATGCCAGGAAAACCTGAAATAATAAACTCAATAGCTGGTTTGACTATTAAGTGAGTATTTGTTTATTCAGTGCTGAGTGTGCGGGGGATTACTCCTCCTGACAGGCACACATGAGGGTATCTAGGGTTACATTTTAATGTGGTATAGGTGCACATATGCATTAATTAGCTATACATATTCATTACTCAGACCTACGTATTCATATAATTTCCAAGAATGGGTGTTACTCTTTTTAGAACTTGATCACACCTCCATGTATCTGCGCACTGCCATCTGGTGGTCGTCTCCAGGGGTCGTGAAGGTGAAGGCTCCAACTCTTCCTCCGAGTTGAAGTTTTCAACTTTATCCTTGGAGCCTGTGCAGTGTCTTCTCGGCAACGGTCCAAGCTGGAGGGATGGTGCAACCCAGTTTGCAGCTGCTTGGTGCCTTTTGTCTATAGTTCTACATGTCAAGTAACTCCTAAAATACTTAATCATCAGTTAATGTTTTACAAATTACTACGATATTGATAATTGTTCTACAAATTAATTGGCAAAGCAGGTTAGGCTACACAGGTTAAATAATAACTATCACTGGGTTTCTTTGGTCGCCAGGTGGGATTCATTTTTCAGGCGTTCCCCACCTCCCTCCTCCAAAAATTCGCATCCCGAGGGGAGCTGGGGACAAGGGGAGGGGACGCAGGGTGGGTAAGAGGGGGAGAGCAGGGCGCTGAGGGTCTGCCTGGCAACTGGTGCGTCATCAGCGGATCGCTCGGTGATTGGCTGAGGACTGTTGGGCGCTTTCCTGATCTGCCCGGCAACTAGTGAGTTGGCAGAGACCCGCGTTGTGATTGGCTGGGGCTGTGGTGCGAGCGGGGATGTGCCGCTCGGGGTCCGAGAGCCGTGGGGTGCGGGGTCTGGG